AATGTGACAAATTTTGGCCTGGACATTTACCTGACCCAGCTTGCCTTTGGAGCAGTGGAAATCCCAGCCCGTGTTGGTTGTATCTTCACTCTGCAGTGGTTCGGGAGGAGGAAGACCCAGACTGTTCTCCTGCTGCTGAGTGGCCTGGTGTGTCTGATCATCACTGGCATCCCTGAAGGTGAACGGCCTCATTCCGTGCTGAGAGGACACTCTCTGGGACAGGGAGCCACAGAGCCCCAGCCCTTCCCTTGCTGGTGCAGGTCCTGTCCTCCCAGCCAGGCTGGATTACATTCCCTGGTGCCACGGCCATGTGGGACTTGGTTAATGCCCTAGGGACCATTCCAATCAGCAAACTTGTGCTTACCAATCATTAAAGCAGAGGGTAGAACTGAGCCCAGTAGGCCACTTGTCAGCAGAGCTGTCCTCTGGGAAAATTAGTACCTGGGGAGGTGAGATGATGGATGCAGAGTGTGCTGAAGGTGCCACGAGGCCAGAGCTGCTCAGTCCATGCTCAGGCACTGCCGGAGGCGATGGTCCCTGCAGGTGACACAGTTGTCACTGTGCATCCCCAGTGGCCATCTGTGAGCGGTGCTGAGCCCTCCCTCATCCCATAGCAGTGATCTCTCCTCCCTCCCTCAGACCAGCCCGTGGCAACCACCGTCCTGGCCACCGTTGGCAAGTTTGCTGCCTCAGCCTCCTTCTCCACCTCCTACGTCTACACGGCAGAGCTCTTCCCCACGGTCGTCAGGTGAGGTCTCCCCACACACCAGGGCTTCCCTCTGCCACGGCTGGCGGTGCTGATGGCTCAGGTCGTCCCCATGGCCACGCCCAGTCCCAGAGTGGCCTGGGGTGGCCGGTCCCTGCCCAGCCCCCCCGCTGCCCCTCGCTCCCCAGGCAGACCGGCGTGGGGCTGTGCTCGATGTCGGCGCGGGTGGCCGGGGTCCTGGCCCCGCTGGTCCGGCTCCTGGGGCAGTACCACCGGGCCATCCCCATGGCCATCTTTGGGAGTGCCCCCGTGCTGGGGGGGCTGCTCTGTGTCCTGCTGCCTGAGACCCGCGGCACGGAGCTGCCGGATGACACGGAGGACGGCCAAACCCCGGCTGAGGTGGGTACCTGGTGCTGCCCCTCGGGCGGGGACACGGGGTGCCAGCACATTGCATGGGCTGGGGGGGTTCTCAGAGGGGCTACAGGGGTGGGAGGGCAGGCAGTGGGACTTTCCCACTGTGGAGGGAGGGGAGGGGACCCCATAACCCTGTCCATGGTTGTCATCCCTTCATTCCTGCCCGCGGGATAGAATGGCTGGTGCTCCACTTGTCTCTCTCTGCCCTGCTCATGGAAGGGCTGGTGCCTCGTAGCCACGTCCTCTGGATTTCACCCTCTCATAACTCCCACCCCCATTTCCCATGGGATCAGGTGGAATTGCACTCCAATGCAGTTTGTTGCCCTGCTGGGAGAAGGGTGTCCACAGGCACCCAGAGATCAAGGCGGGATTAGGATTCAGGTTGCTGAAGGCTGCTTGTCTCGGGGACAGCTGCCATCAGCTCACGGTGCACTTTTCTTAGCTTTTACACCATTTTACACCCTTTCTCCTTTCATTAGGTCTGCGAAAATGGCACCAGCAGCTCTGAGAACGGACAGGTGAAAGGAAAGGATGGTGTCCAAGTCAATGAGTGCACGAAGACCACTTACTTCTAGCTGGGTCTGCAGGTGTCTGTAGCTGAAGGCAGCCCGGTGCTGTGTGGGCACTGAGGACAGGCAGGGTCTGCACCACAGGACAGCAGCACCACTCAGGCCATCACTGCCAGTTCTTGGCTTTCCTTGTCCTTTTTGCCTTCCTGTATCTCCCTCTATAGCTTGTCCTCAGGCACTGCATCCTGTCACTGGTGTCCGGCAGTGCTCCCGCTGGAGAAAATCGGGTGCTTTTCGTTTAAGGGAAAAAAAAGGAAGAAATCAAAACCCAGAATGGGGACGTTTTTTCTCTTCATTTTTTCCTGTCTTGTCTCCAGGAAGGTGAGACTGTAAACTCTGTCCAGTGAGACACCTGAATTGAACAGAGTTGCAAGAGAGAACTGTGCTCACTAACAGGAGAGCTGGAGCAGATGCAGCACTGAGAACATTCTCACTCTTGCAAAAAGGAGTGATTTATCTTGACTGTCTAGCAAGGTCATCCCTCTCTCTCACAAAAACACTCCTTTTTATTTTTTAAAATTTGAGATACTCAGCTGAGAAAGAAAAAATGGCGTGATGGAAGAAACAGCAAGCAGGCAACAAGGACATCTAACAGGCAGATGAATTCTCACCTTAGTGATGGTGGCTTTGAATTGATGCCTGTTGTGGTGCTTTGGGCATGGGAAATGGTGTTGTTGGGCAGCAGTGTAGGACCAAATTAATTTGTCCATTTCAGGAAACTGAGATGTTGTGGCAGTTGGGCTCTTAGAAGAAAGTGCAAATCTTTCTGGGAAATATCAGGTTTTCCTACTCTATTTTAGTCTATTCCTTCTTGGTGGATCCTTCTGTCTTTAAATGATTTAGGACCACTTTTGCCTCATATTGTGAAGAAAAAACAGGTGTTTTTCCTGTGCTTCCCTTTCTCTTATTTTCTGTCCCTCAAGATAACTTTCTTTTCCCATTGGTTTGGTACAGATCAAGCGTGGAAGTTGCACATGGTGGTGCTCCATCTTTGCCTGTACAGCTCAAAGGCTATTTTCTGGTAGTGTCAAGAAGCTTTTAAACCAGAATATTTTTCTCTCTGTTGTCATGCCTGTGTGTTTTCCATGGACCAAAGTACCTCATGGATATGCAGTTTGATATAGACAGAGTTTTGTATAAAATTGGTGCCATGTGACAATGTCCTGCCAGGAGGGACTGGCTGTGGTGCCCTCTTCTCTCTGGGACTGCTTTTCAGAGGATGTGCTGTGGTGCTCCTCTGCAGTGCCCTGAGAATAGAGGAGCTCAGTCCTTTGCCCAAGGGCACTCTTTCCTTGGAAAAGGCTGTGGGCTGCCTCCTTCAGGCTTTTGTGGAAAACAAGGCATTGAATGTAAAGGCTGGGGAAAGAGCTTGGAGCCAAATGTACAGTTACTGAGGGAACCACGACTTCTTTTGGGAATTGTGCTCTGAGATTCTCTGTTTTAGCTCATTTCATAAATAAAGGCATCCAAGCAGAGCTGATGCACTTCTGCTTCCATATCATTCGTGCCTCCAGTAGGCTGAAGATCCATTTAATTGGATCCCAGAGTGGTTTGGGTTGGTGGGGACCTTAAAGACCATCCAGTTGTCAAAGCCCCGTCCAACCAAGCTGTGGCTGGAGGGCTCTGGGATGGTGCTGAAGGTCCCAGTGCTGAGCACATGCCAGAGACTCCATGAAGGGTTTGCTAAGACATATCAATTAGTGTCCAAGCCTTCTTAAGGCCCTCCTGTATCAGACATGGGAGCGAGGCCCTGCTCCTGCTCTTACACCCTCACTTAGGCCTCTCTGTATTTCAGGTCACAACCTCTTGACCTCCATTTCCCCTTTGGAGGAGACCCAAATTCATGCATCAGAGCCTCCCCACTGCTGAGGAAGCTGGTCAGGCAGACCCAGAGGTATTTCAGGCACGGAGGGGCAGCAGAGCCTGGCCTGGCCCTGTTCCCTGATGGGAGCTGTGGGGCGGAGCAGCTCCTGTTGCCAGGGGAGCCCCACAAGGACCACAGAGATAATCAGGACACCCTTAGTGTCAGTGACACCAGCCAACTGTGAGGCAACCCTGACTCCTGGCTGTGGGGCAGAGGTGTCAGGATCCTTGATCTTCCCTTTTATCTAGAGGACATTGCCCTCTCCTTTCATGCGATCCCCTGCTGGGAAACTGCAGGTCTATGCGCAGAGCAAAGTTTGCAGAAAGGGACCCAGCAGGGAATGGCTGAGGAGGGGAGGAGATGAGCATTTAAGCTGCTCTCCTGAGTCTGGGCAAGGAGCCATAGAATCCTAAGTTCACTTATGTTGGAAAAGACCTTTAAGGCCATTGAGACCAGCCATCAGCCCAGCACTGCCAGGTCCACCACTAAACCACATCCCTAAGTGACACATCTACATGTCTTTTAGATACCGCTAGGGTTTTTTACTCCACCATTGCCCTGGACAGCCCATTCCAGTGCTTGACAACCCTTTTGGAGAAGAATTTTTTCCTAATATCCAATCTAAATTGATACAACTTGAGACCACTTCCTCTTGCCCTGTTACTTGGGAGAAGTGACTGACCCTTTCCTTGCTACACCCTGCTTTCAGGTAGTTGTAGGGAGCAATAAGGTGCCCCCTGAGCCTCCTTTTCTCCAGGCTGAGCCCCCCCAGCTCCCTCAGCTGCTCCTCATCAGACTTATGCTCCGGACCCTTTCCAGCTCTGTTGCCAAAGCTCAGATCTTGGAAGCGCCCCATCTCCAGCCATGACCAGGTTACATGTGACTGTGGGGTGATTTTGTGCACCAGAGCCAAGGCACAAAATGAAAATCACCTTCAAGGCACATCTGGCCTGCACTTGGGACACCCTGGCCTTCAAAACACCACTTACTACAGCACAAAGTGATAGAAACAAAAGGATGCATCAAACCTTTGTGACAAGACTCCTTCTTCAACCAAGAGTAGTGATGTTGTTTGAGGAGATGACTTCATGAAAGGACTCCAAATATGTTCTCTGCTTGCAAACAAGTTAGTACAGGAGAGGAGCTCACTCTTCTCTTTCTTTTCATGACAGTAGATGACACTAAAAAGTCATGACTCAGCTGTCATCAGCCAACCAAGCTCACTATTAAAGGCTGACCATGATGAGGAAAGCTGCCCAGATGCCCACACAGTTTAATTGACATCAAATTGCAGTGTACTCCAGACAATTCAGAAAGCTTCCACAGCTGCTGAAAATAAATACAGGTTGTTAGTCAGAAGGCTTTGAAAAAAGTCCTTATTGGACTCAGTCATTCTGCTTTAACACTCTGCTTCTGCATTGTTTGTGGCTGATGGAAATAAAACACATTTCCATCTGCGTGCTAAATTACAGACTTAACGATTTCTGTGTAGAAAACACTCCAGAGCCAAGAGCAGTTACAAAGGCCAACTGTGAAACAAAAAAATAAGAGTCAACACCATTTATTATTCACATATTGCATTATGAGTGTCTCTTATCAAACTCAGAGGATAATTTATATTATTCATGTAGAAACTCAACTTCAACACCACAGAGAAAGAAAAGCTAAATACGTGTGTGACGGGGTTTCAGTGACATCCTGATCAAACGTGGGGGTGAGGAGGTGCCGGCCCAGGCCGTTAGTGCAGCAGGGACACAGCCCGGCGCCCGCTTGCCCAGTACAACCACTCTGCTGGCGATTCTTTATTGCTGTAAAACACGACAGGGATGGTTCCACGGGTACCAGTTAGCGAAGGACTGGGAAAACACGTCAGGAGGACTCTCTGCGCAGCCAGGCATGGCAGAACTGGGCTTGAGGAACAGTCTGAAGCGCGTGTTTCCCAAACACAGGGTGACACAGATCTCCTCTCCCTCTGACCACGGGTATTGTGTTCATCATCTGAAAGACCAGTTTCCAGGCAGCAGTGCCTCCCTGACCTGCTTCAAAAAAACCTGAATCCAACTAGACCTTTAGTGTGTGCCTGTCCAATCATAGCTCGATCTCTGAGGACCTGGAGTTGTCCTTCTCCAAATCTGCTTCATCCTCTCTGATGTCTGCCTTAAAAAACTCTTCAGTCTTCTTGTTCTGAAAACAAGAAGGAAAGAGGAAGAGTCAATACGGTTTTCATCCTTGTTTCTGGTATTTTTTCCTTTACCTGAAATTTGCACCTTTGGATGTTTTTTTTTCCTTAAATTCCGAGCTCCTCGTACCCACCTCAGCTGGGGTTTGGCCCTTCCCCGTGTCATCCGGCAGGTCGGCGCCGCGGGTCTCAGGCAGCAGGATGCAGGTCAGTGACACAAGCACGGGGATGCTCCCGAAGATGGCCATGGGGATGGCCCGGTGATACTGGTTCAGGGGGATGATCAGCGGGGCCAGGATCCCGGCCACCCTCGCCACGGTGGAGCACAGCCCCACGCCGGTCTGCCTGGGGGAGCGAGGGGCAGTGGGAGATGTGGGCAGGGATCAGCATCCCCTGGGACTGAGGGTGGCCGTGGGGACAGCTGGGCTCTTGTCCCATCCCCACCACCAGCCATGCCAGAGGGAAGCTCAGATGTTTTGGGAGACCTCACCTGACGACCGTGGGGAAGAGCTCTGCGGAGTAGACGTAGGAGGTGGAGAAAGCGGCCGTGGCTGTGAACTTGCCGATGATGGCCAGGACGGTGATGGCCACGGGCTGGTCTGAGGGGAGGAGGAGACACCACCACTTTGACCTCCAAACTCTCTCCAGTATGTTTTCTTGGGACACCCCTTTCTAATGGACTTACCAAGCAAATCTTGGCAGGTCGAGGACAAAACCCAACCCTTTGGAAATTGTCCCTAGCATACCATTACCTGGCAAATATCCTCTGGAAAGCTGGCAAAGAGAACCCAGATTAGTCCTGAGTTCTTGGGCATTCCCTAAATCTGCAACTGATGTGAGCTACTGATCCACTGCAGGTGTTTGAGGGAGTGCTTGGTTGGAAATACCACATCCCTGAGCTTGAAAGCATCATGCAGCCCCTCTCTTTTCTTCCCAGTCTTACTCCCAGCAGCAGGGGTGAGGGTGTGGACTGCAGCAATGTGGCACAAACAGATGTGGAGGGTGGGCATTTGTTTTTTTCTGTTCATCTAAAGAAGGGAAAAGCAGTGGATTTTAAAACACCTCGTCTGCTACACCTTTCTGCCAGGAGGTGCTGGAGGTGATGGCTGGTGGACATTGCCTGCCAAGGGCCAGGAGCTTTGGAAAGATCAGGCACAGCCCTGAAGGAGAAGAAACTGAAGCTGAGGGGGAACCAGCACATTGGGAATGCAGTTCCCTGGCCTGTGGCACTCAAGGCAGCTCAGCCCCTGGGAGAGAGCTGTGGCCAGCCGGGCTGGGAGGATGGGTCTCAACAAGGATAGGGATCACTGGGGCTCTGTCCAGCTCTGCTCATGGGTTGGGAAGAGGTTATTCACCTTCAGGAAGGCCAGTGAGGATGAGACACATCAGGCCAGATAGCATCAGGAACATGGCCTGCATTTTCTTCCTCCCAAACCACTCCAGCAGGAAAATGAGGAAAACTCGAGCTGGAAACTCCACGGCCCCAAAGGCCAGCTGTGTCAGGTAGATGTCCAGACCAAAACCTGTCACGCTAAGGCTCAGTCCATAGTAGACAATGCTGTCTGCAAACCTGAAATTCAAGTAAAGTGGAATAAAACATGTCACCAGATGGTTTTATGTGGGCTTAACATCAAAAATTAGGATGGTTATACCACACACAACTTATTTAAACTCTCAACAACCTCTGTTTTGCTTCTTGTCACCACCTGTGACGGTTCTGTGGGATGTAGTTACATGAGATAAAGCAGAATGGATCCCCATATGGTCAGCAACTTCTAGACTGAACCCAAAACTTCTAGGTAGGCATAAAACTACTCCAAGGCATAGGGATCACCAAAATCTGGAATTACTCAAGCCTTTCTAACAAAACCCACAAAAAGTATAATGAATAATCATCTTCTCCCCATGGCCAGGCATGGTAAATCTGGTCCAGGACAGGGAGACAGAATGACAGCAGATAAAAAAATATATGTATATATGACCACCAAAATCACATGAAGTGAATTTACAGTTCTTGTCAACTATCAATGCCTTATTTTCTTTTACCTAGGAGTTTGGAAAGAGGGGAGCAGGGAATGTCTTACCAGATGCACGACATGATTAAAGTCACCTTCCGGAGGTGCTTCTTCCGAAAGAGATCCAGAAGGCTTACAGGCTTGGTTTGTTTCTCAGGCTTCAACTTCAAAACAAAGAAAGTCAAAGAGTCAAAGCAGGCAAAGGTAACCCATGGCCAGCTGCTTTCCCATCTGCAATCAATGGAAAGCCTCAGGGGGACAGGCTGGTGACCTCCACTGATCTGGGAGAGACAACACCCCACGGGGGGCTCCTGCCTCTGTGCCCTGGGCGCCCAGCAAGGAAGTTGGTGACCAAGACATTCTGTGGGATAAACATTTCCCCAGTGTAGGAGCTTTGGGGTGGGCAAGCAGGTAACTCCCCTTCTGGCATTTATGCATGGAAACCCACAGACTAAACAGAGTCCATATCCTCATGACCCACACTCCTGCAATCCTCACAGGAGAAAAGCCAGGGAAGCATTTCAGTCCCTTCCATAGCCCAAAGGGGACTCCAGGAAGCTCCAGGCTGAGCCTCAGCAGAAGCTGTGCCTCTGCCCTGACCTTGTCTGTGTCCATCGCAGCTGGAGCTGGAGTCACTCCCAGTGCATCCCCAACTCATCCCCAGGGGACATGGAAAGATGCTGCTGGGCTGAGCTCAGCTCCAGGGGCCGTGCAAGCCCAAGAGCAGAGGGAAGTCTGTGCAGACAAGCCGCGGTTCCCTGTGCCCGGACAGGTACCTGCTCCAGGAGTCCTGCCGGGAGGCTGCGCTTGTTGGTGGCCGCCGCCTTCTGAAGGAGCTTCTTGGCTTCCTCCATCCTGCCTTTTGTCACCAGCCACCGAGCTGACTCTGGGAGCACCCTGCCGAGGAGGGGAGCTCAGCACAGGCTGCTCTGACCCCCAGACTTCCCCCACAGCCCTCTTCTGTCACCACATCCTGCAAGCAGTGAGCATCCCATGGGAGGGATGGGTCTAAGTGCCCTACATTTGGGCTCCAAAGGCCACGTTTGATGACCTGAAGCAAAGCAGCTGCTGGTCTCAGCAGTCCAGTGCCTCAGGGAGATGTGCTGAGCTCTGTAGAAGCTCCTCCAGCATCTGCACTGATGGGAAAGACCCATCCTGGTGCTGAGCTGCTGCTGCCTCCTCACTTCCAC